GAGAGGCCCAGTGCACGGAATTCCTACGAGAGTAGGCCGCCCTTCCCCGGCTTCCCTCTGGCACCTGGGACCCGGGCTTCCCTCGCAGACCTGGCTTCGCCCTCCGGAAGGTTGTCCGGCATCGTTAGCATATCACTCTTTTATTATTATTATTACTATTATTATCGTTGATGTAAGAGGAAGGAACAGGGGAGAGTGAGAGAGAGAAACATTGATGTGAGAGTGCAACATGGACCGGCCGCCTCCTGCACAGCCCACACTGGGCATTGGGCCTGCAGCCCTTGCGTGTTCCAGGAATCGGACTGTGACCTCCTGGTTCATGGGTCGACGCTCAGCCACGAGGCCGGGGAGAGCTTGCTGTCAGTGGCTGGCGCTCCCTGGGCGGGGTGGGCTGGGGCTCGTGTGTTCTGGAGACTGTGGTGTCTGAGCCTTCAGGAAGGCCCCGGGGGCAGGGCTTGGCGAGGGCGCCCCGCACTCCCCCGGTGGCTGCCAGTGGTTTCCGGGCCCCTGCTTCCTGCTCGGCGGGCCCGGGCTGACCCGGGAGAGGGGCCCGGTCCAGCCTCGCCCAGGCCCGGGAGGACTGGAGCACCGGGAGCAGCCGCTGCCCCCATGGGAGGGCAGCTGGAGGAGGTGGTTAGCTGAAGGAGGAGGAAGCGGAGCACAATGTCCATTTCAAATCGAGCGTTAAACAGAAACACGTGCGGACACAGCCCACGGCCGGGCCGCTGGGGGAGCCACCGCAGGGGTCAGGTGGCGGGGCCTGGGGGCCTGGGGGCGGGGGCAGCTTCTGCGGACGCTCCGGGCGGCCAGGTGGCTGTGGCCGCTCCAGCTGCCTCCCCCAGGGCCGGAGCCCGGGGCCACCTGCCAGGCCGCACACAGCGGTGGGAGCAGAGGGCGGAGGGCAGCCTCGGGCCCGGGGGGTGGGGGTGGGAGGGAGACTGGGAGCCCCGGGCTGGCTCCTCCACCCGCCCCGCCCTGCACATCGCTGTGGGGTCCAGGCGAGGGGGTCCGCGGGCTGGCTGAGCCCACCTTGCACCAGGATTGGCACCTGGAGGTCCAGCAGGGTCTTTGCCACCAACCCCGCTTTTCACCTTCCTGTTCCCCAGACTTTGCCACCCCCTCCCCACCCTCCTGACCCCGTGCTGCCCCGTTCTGTGCAGGCTCCTGGCGGTCCCTGGTGCCAGCCAGCTAGCGAGATGGACCAACGCCCCCTCCCTCCGTGGGGCCACTGGGGCCGCCTCCTGCACGTCAGGGGACAGGCAGGGTTCAGCCGTGGCCCTGGAGGGAGAGCTCTGCACACGGGGCTCCAGGAACGGGAGGGGCAGGTGCGACCCCTGACTGCACCCCGCCCTGCCCTGCGCTGCGCTGAAGGGGGTGGGCGGGGGGCAGGAGGGCAGGGGGGCAGGGTGCTCCTCGGAGAAAGTAGCTCGGAGGCGGCAGAGCGGAAGCCCAGGCCTCGCAGGACTACACGCGTGTGTGCAGGGGCCCTGAGCACGCGTGAGCAGCAGTCCCAGTGCGGGGATGAGGGGCCGGAGCCGGCCCGAGAGGAGGCGCTCCTGCCTGTCTCTGAAGGGGAGAGCCCGCACACTACACTCACTGCTCAGCCCGGCTCAGTGGTTCAGCGTCGACCTATGACCCAGGAGGTCACGGTTCGAATCCCGGTCAGGGCACAGGCCCCGGTTGTGGGCTCGGTCCCCAGTAGGGGGCGTGCAGGAGGCAGTGATTCTCTCTCATCATCGATGTTTCTGTCTCTCTCTGCCTCTCCCTTCCTCTCTGAAATCAATAAAAATATATTTTTCAAAGAAACGTAACCCACAGTCCCTCGTGGGACTGGCCTTTCTTGGCTCACAAACACCAGTTAACACCCAAGAGAGTGGACACAGGATGCCAGAGTGCCTTACTCTGCTTGGCATCTATATATATGGGGATTTATATATTTAAATCATGAACTTGGCTTGGGACTATTTTTATACCTTTTTTATTAATTTCAGAGAGGAAGGGAGAGGGAGAGGGAGAGAGAAACACCGATGAGAGAGAACCATGGACCGGCTGCCTCCTGCACCCTCCACACTGGGGATGGAGCCCGCAACCCGGGCCTGTGCCCCGACCGGGAATCCGACTGTGACCTGCTCATAGGTGGACGCCCAGCCTCTGAGCCCCGCCTTCCGAACGAGGCGCTCGGTGGAGAAGGGCCAGGGTGGCTCAGGAGGCCAGGGGAGCGGGTCACCAGGGCTCGGCCCCCAATGCGAGTCAGAAAACAACCCATTAAGACGATTGCACAGTCAGCTCCTCCGCACTTCCAGGCGTCTCAGGGTCGGGGGAAACTTGGAGGAACTGGTTTGAAGGTTTTGCCCGGGCTTGTGGGCACAGAGGGGTGCCGACCCCCTAATGTCAGGGGCAGGACAGGCTCTGCCCCCACCACCACCACACCCACACGCAGACACGTGCAGACACACGCAGACACACGCAGACACACGCAGACACACGCGGGAAGGGGCAGTGTGAGACTCCCGGGAGGCAGCCCGTCTCACTCGCAGTTGGGATAAAGTGCAGGCCCAGGAGAGCACGCCAGAGGGCGATACGCAGGCTCTCCCCCAGCCCTGGCCTGGGCCTGTCCCTCGGAGCGGAGCCCATGCCAGTCCCCACGCGGGGACTCCCCGACGCCTGGGCTCGAGGCGCCTCGCCCACGGGGACAGCGTGGCGCCATCCGGCGAGCGCGGGGCCCTGAGCCCACAGGCTGTGGGGCGGGGGCCGCGGGAGGGGCGTGCCGGACTCGCAGGGCGATGGTGTTGTCCTCTCATGCAGGAGGGTTACACGCGTGTGCGCCGTGTGCATGTGTGGACGCCTCCGGTGCTCCCGCAGAGGGTAGGTCACGCTGTGCCCCGCACGTCCCGTCCGCAGCGGGAGCGGACACGGCCAGAGCGGCGGCCTGCGGGTGATCCCGCCCCTCCTTCAGAGCGCGTCCAGAGCAGACAGCCGGCCGGCCTGCTCCGCTGGTGAGCGTCCACCTATGAACCAGGAGGTCAGGGTTCGAGTCCTGGGGCGGGGCGTGCCGGAGGCAGCCGATCCATGATTCTCTCCCATCGTGGATGTTCCTCTCTCTCTCTCTCTCTCTCTCTCTCTCTCTCTCTCTCTCTCCCTCCTGGGGAACAGGGTTCCAGGTGGGCCTGCCTTAAACCAAATCAAATAAATGCTGCAGCCTTCTCCTCCCCCAGAACAGGCAGGTTGGACAGCTGGCGTCTTGGGTTCTTTGCGATGGTGGGGGGGGGGGGGGATTATTAAAAAATAAATCAATGCCCTGACTGGGGCGTGCTGGGCGGGCGGTGCCCAGGGCAGCACCCGGAGGCCTAGGAAGAGCAGCACGGTTTGGGGGGTGGGACCTCGAAGTCCGCCTGGGACTGGCCTCGTCTCGGGGCGCAGCCTCCGGTTGCTGATGGGGTGCTGCCTCTGCAGCCCCGGGACCCCGGCCGGTCCTGGTCCCCCTCCCAGGCCAGGGGCCCTGTGTCTGCGCTCTGAGAGGGTGGAGGTTCAAAGCTCCAGCTTCAAACGCCGAGCCCTTTGTTCTGCCCGCCTGCCTGGGCTCGTCCGTGAAAGAGCCAGGCTGTGACTGTGATGTCACTCTCATCCTCTGCTCGGCTGTGAAACAGGCTGCCGCGTGCGTTTCCCCAACCCGGAATGTTCTCTCGTGTGAGGTCACCCGGCCTGCGGGGGGCGCCTGAGAGGCCGGCTCCCGGGAGCCGCCAGCAGCTGTGGGTTCCTTCCCGGCTGTTCACTAATGCGTATCTCTAGACCGTGGGCTTCGTCTCCGAGGCATTCGCTTGGAAGACTGTCTTAGCCCTGGCTGGTGTGCTCAGTGGATAGAGCGTCGGCCTGTGGACTGAAGGGTCCCGGGTTCGATTCTGACCCAGGGAACATGCCTGGGTTGCAGGCTTGATCCCTAGTGGGGGGCATGCAGGAGGCAGCCGGTCCATGATTCTCTCTCATCATTGACGTTTCTCTCTCTCTCTCCTTCTCCCTTGCTCTCTGAAATCAATAAAATTATATTATAAAAAAAAAAAAAAAAAGAAGAAGAAGAAGAAAATGAAGAAGAAGAAGAGCCGAAACCAGTTTGGCTCAGTGAATAGAGGGTCGACCTGAGGACTGAAAGGTCCCAGGTTTGATTCTGGTCAGGGGCATGTATGTACCTTGGTTGCGGGCACATCCCCAGTGGGGGGCGTGCAGGAGGCAACTGATCGATGTTTCTCTCTCATCGATGTTTCTAGCTCTCTATCCCTCTCCCTTCCTCTCTGTAAAATTAAGAAAAATATATTTTTTTTAAAGAAGGAGGAGGTTTTCACCTCCTGCCCTGGGCTTCCATGGCCTCTGTGCCCGCGGTGCCTGCCCCCGCCCGGGGTGCGTTGTGTCTGTAAATGCCCTTCGGTCACTCAGAGGGCCGCCTGCTCTCTCTCGGCGAAGGCCACAGCGCTGTTATTACGTCGACGCTGTGATTACATCCTTCATGTGCATTCTGGCTGCTGAAGTCCTTACCGCCGTCTCCTCCAAGCGGTCTTTACAGCCCTGACCGGTGTGGCTCAGTGGATAGAGCGTCAGCTTGTGGACTCAAGGATCCCAGGTTCCATTCAGGTCAGGGGCATGTGCCTTGGTTGCAGGCACATCCCCAGTAGGGGGCGTGCAGGAGGCAGCTGGTCGATGTTTCTCTTTCACCAGTTTCTAACTCTTTATCCCTCTCTCTTCCTCTCTGTAAAAAATCAATAAAATATATTTTAAAAAAAGAAAAAAGAAAAGAAAGAAAAGGTTTTTACAGAACCTTTCTGTGTCCCCGTGACTTCTGGACAGCGCGTCCCTGCGCTCGGGGTGGGCTCGGCCCCCGCGGGCCTGCGCCCGTAAAGCCTGCCCCACGCTGGCACGCCGCCCGGTCAGAGCGAACAGATGGTGGACGCGGTTTCATGTTGGTGCAGTGCCTCCCTGAGCGTCTCACGTGGTGCCTTATTCCCCCCCAGTGTGTCAGGGCACCAACAACAAGCTCACCCAGCTGGGCACCTTCGACGACCACTTCCTGAGCCTGCAGCGCATGTTCAACAACTGTGAGGTGGTCCTGGGCAACCTGGAGATCACCTACATGCAGCGGAGCTACAACCTGTCCTTCCTGAAGGTGGGTCCGCGCTCCGGCCTCCCGGATGTGGCGGGAGCGAGGGGCGGGCAGGGCCTGGGCGGGACCTTCCCGGGCACGGGCTGGCCTCGGCCTCGGCAGTGCCGATTCCTAGCGAACTTGAGGTGTGTGGTGTATGCGGGGACCCCTCCCCCAGCTGGGGCCCGGTCACAGAAGGACGCCCCAAGGAGCAGGCCCGGCCGGAGCCCCGCGGGCATCGTAGATACTGAGAGGTCTCTTGTCGCCATGACTGCCGCCGTGGCTGCCGCCGTGGCACCCTGGTAACTGGCTCCTAATGTGGAAAGAGCCTTGCCTTGTAGCGCCTGCCCATTGCCTTGGTGTAAACACTCCCACCACAGCTGCTTTCCGGCCGCCAAGAGGGTAGCCGCCATTTCACGAGGCGGCTCCCGAGAGCCGGCGGGAGCCAGCAGTTGAACGTTGGGTGTGATGGGCCTCCCTCTCGGGTTGTTTTCCTCTTCCCGTGAGAGAGCAGGCGGGACAGAGGCGAGATAAGTTAATAAAACCGGTCCCAGCGTCACCTGAGGGGGTCGAAGGCCAAGGGGAGGAGGCCCTGCTTTGCTGAGTCGTCACGTTGCCCTTGACGGCCGCCAGCGGGGGGACACGGCGTGGGAGTGACTGTGCCCTCCGAGGCGCCACCCACACGCCCTACGGCCGTCGCCACGCGTGTGCGTCGCTCAGGGAGGCGTCCGGTTCCCCGGGCCCGCAGGGACCTCACGTGCTTAGCCCCCTCCCCGGAGAGAGGCCAGCGTCTCGCTCTGTCCCCTCAGACCATCCAGGAGGTGGCCGGCTACGTCCTCATCGCCCTCAACGTGGTGGAGAGGATCCCGCTGGAGAACCTGCAGATCATCCGGGGGAACATGCTCTTCGAGAACACGCACGCCCTGTCCGTGCTGTCCAACTACGGCAGCAACAGGACCGGCCTGCGGGAGCTGCCCATGCGGAGCCTGCAGGGTGAGCGGCCGGGCGGGGCGGACGCGGGCACAGCCCCCGGCCCTCTCTTAAGTTCACTCCAGGAAGACGTTACTCTTCAAAACAAATGTGTGTGTTTAATCTTTATTACTGAGAGTAGTACAGGTGTCTCCCTTCTTCCCCCCATTGCCTCTCTCCGCCTGGTCCTGCCCACCCCAGACTTCTGCCCCTGGTTGTCTGTGTCCATAGCTAACACATACACGCACGTAATTTCTTCGTTTAAACTCTTCACACATGCCTCCCCCCTTCCGTCTGAAATTCATTAGTCTGTCCTGTGCTTCCGTGCCTGATTCTATTTTATTCATCAGTTTACTTTGTTTATTAGATTTCTTGTTCGTTAATTTTTAGATTCAACTGTTGATAGATATGTCTTTTTTGCCATTTTATTTTCAAATGTTTTCCTCCTCCTCCTCCTCTTCCTCCTCTTCCTCCTTCTCATTTTCCTTCTTCCTCTTGTTAAAGAAGACCCTTCAACATTTCATGGAATACTGGTTTGGTGGTGGTGAGCTCCTTTAGCTTTTTCTTGTCTCTGAAGCTCTCTATCTGACCTTCCATTCTGAATGATAGCTTAGCTGGGTAAAGTAATCTTGGTTGTAGGTTCTTGCTATTCATCACTTTGAGTATTTCTTGCCACTCCTGTCTGGCCTGCAGAGTTTCTGTTGAGAAATCAGCTGACAGTCGTATGGGTGCTCCCTTGTAGGTAACCAACTGTTTTTCTCTCGTATCCTGTGCCACTCATGTGCAAGACTCAGCCAGTGGAGGTTACTGAAAAGGTGTACGCAGTGCAGTGGAAAGGGGAGAAGGGAGCCAGGTTACCCCGTGCTCTCGGAAAAGCATCCGAGAGTTAGTGAGACGTGGCAAAGGCTCTGGAAGAGGGAGCGGGTAGCCGCCTTTGTGCCCGCCCTGTGGCCTGGGCCTCAGGTGTAAGGGAATGCAGTGAATCAACCCCTCGTGCTGGCTGTGTGCACAGAGGTCAGAGCGTGGACCCGTACACAGAGGGTCCAATTGATGTGTTTCTCTCACATCAGTGTTTCTCTCTGCCTTTCCATCTCTCTCCCACTCTCTCTAAAAATCAATGGAGCCGAAACCGGTTTGGCTCAGTGGATAGAGCATCGGCCTGTGGACTGAAAGGTCCCAGGTTCGATTCCGGTCAAGGGCATGTACCTTGGTTGTGGGCACATCCCCAGTGGGAGGTGTGCAGGAGGCAGCTGATTGATGTTTCTAGCTCTCTATCCCTCTCCCTTCCTCTCTGTAAAAAACCAATAAAATATATTTTTTTTAATCAATGGAGAAATACCCTCAGGTGAGGATTAACAACAAAAAAAAAGAATTGCGTGCACACTCGGCGTGCTCGGGTGAGACGAGGCGGCATGGCTCACCGGCCCTCTCTCCGCAGAGATCCTGCAGGGAGGCGTGCGCTTCAACAACAACCCCACGCTCTGCAACCTGGAGACCATCCAGTGGCGCGACATTGTGGACAGCAGCAACATGTCGCTGGACTTCCAGAGCCCGCACAACAGCTGTGAGTGTGCCGGGCGCGAGGGCCGCTGAGGGGCCGGTGGTGGCAGGGGAGGCGGCCAGGCCCAGCTCCCTTCGCCTGTGAGCGGCAGGAAGCCCAGGGCGGCTGCTGGGCAGACCGGCACTGCATGCAGCGCCTGCCGACCCCTCCCTGGAGATACCCTCCCAGGGGGCCAGAGACCCTGACCTAGGGGGGACGCTGGGGCTTCTCCCAGCCTGAGCCCACGGGAACCGGGGCTGGAGCTCACTGAGCCCCTGTCCGGCCGGCATGGGACCATGCTGTGTGCAGCCCTGCTCTCCCGTGTCCTCACTGAGCCCCGTGTCCGGCCGGCATGGGACCGCGCTGTGTGCAGCCACGCTCTCCCGTGTCCTCACTGAGCCCCTGTCCGGCCGGCATGGGACCGCGCTGTGTGCAGCCCTGCTCTCCCGTGTCCTCACTGAGCCCCTGTCCGGCCGGCATGGGACCGCGCTGTGTGCAGCCACGCTCTCCCGTGTCCTCACTGAGCCCCTGTCCGGCCGGCATGGGACCACACTGTGTGCAGCCATGCTCTCCCATGTCCTCACTGAGCCCCTGTCCGGCCGGCATGGGACCGCGCTGTGTGCAGCCACGCTCTCCCGTGTCCTCACTGAGCCCCTGTCCGGCCGGCATGGGACCGCGCTGTGTGCAGCCACGCTCTCCCGTGTCCAAGGCTGCTGTGCCTGGAGGCCGTGCGGGCTGCGGCTCCTATTGGCACAGGCCGGGACCGGCCGGCGGAGCCTCAGCGCGGAGGCCGCGTGCGGCCCTGGCTCTGCTCCGGCCAGAAGGTGCCGTCGCTCCGCTCGCCGCTCCCCTGGCCCGGATGGCGTCTGACCCCGCGTTTGTGTCACAGGCGGGACGTGCGACCCGAGCTGTCCCAACGGAAGCTGCTGGGCTGCGGGCAAGGAGAACTGCCAGCAACGTGAGTCCGAGGGAGGGAGGGGGCGGGGCGAGTGTGCGGCCGCCCGCCCCAGACCTGTGGCGTGGTGGGGTTTTTTTGTGTGTTTTTTTTTTCAATATATTTTATTGATTTTTACAGAGAGGAAGGGAGAGAGATAGAGAGTTAGAAACATCAATGAGAGAGAATCATCGATCAGCTGCCTCCTGCACACTCCTCAGTGGGGATGTGCCCACAACCAAGGTACATGCCCTTGACTGGAATCGAACCCGGGACCCTTCAGTCCACAGGCCGACACTCCATCCACTGAGCCACACCGGTTAGTGCCTGTGGCGCATTTTTAATAACGCCTCTCACAATTTTTAATATGTTTTTATTGATTCCAGAGAGGAAGGGAGAGAGAGAGAGAAACATCCATAATGAGAGAGGATCATTGATCGGCTGCCTCCTGCACGCCCCCCACTGGGGACGGAGCCTGCAACCCGGGCCTGTGCCCTGACCGGGAACCGAACTGTGACCTCCCGGTTCACGGGTTGATATTCAACCGCTGAGCCCACTGGCAGGATCTAAAAGTCACTGTTGGTCGAAAGGCCAGAGGGAGCAGCTGAGGGAAGGCCAATGCTGCCAGTCGCCTGCGGGGACCTGGGCGGCTGCTGTGGGCACAGGAGCAGACGTCAGCCGGGCCCGCACCAGTCACCCCCCAGCCGTGCCCAGCGGAGCTTCCCGGGAACCGAGGCTGCTCAGCCCCCTCCCGCCCCGGCTCACGCGGCCTGTGCTCCTTCCCAGTGACCAAGACCATCTGCGCCCAGCAGTGCTCCGGCCGCTGCCGCGGCATGTCCCCGAGCGACTGCTGCCACACCCAGTGTGCCGCCGGCTGCACCGGGCCCCGGGAGAGCGACTGCCTGGTAAGACCGCCCCCGCCACCCCGGGCTTGGCACAGCCCCGCCGGCCCCCACCGGCCCCCACCGGCCCCCACCAGCCCCCGCCAGCCCCCACCAGCCCCTGCCAGCCCCCACCAGCCCCCGTGGGCGCCTCCGTGGCTGCGGTGTGCAGAGGACTGTCTGGGTGAAGGGCGGGACACTGCCTTCCCAGGGACCAGGGCCTCTGCCAGCACCCTGCGCACCCTCCCCCCCCCCCCCGCTCCCTGTGACCTTGGGCAGCTGCTGTGACCCCGCTGGACGGGGGTGGACGGAGAGCGCCTCCCTGCTAAATGGCCACGTGACCTAGAGCTGCGGTCGGCAAACCGTGGCTCAAGAGCCACAGGCGGCTCTTTGGCCCCTTGAGTGTGGCTCTTCCACAACATGCCACGGCCTGGGCGGGTCTGTGTTGAAGAAGGGGCGTTAGAAGAAGTTTAAGCTGAAAAAATGTGGCTCTCCAAAGAAATTGCCGTCGTTGCTGATGTTTGGCTCTGTGGACCGAGGAGTTTGCCGACCACTGGCCCAGAGCATGTGGTGTGCGTGCTGGGCCCGGGCGCGGACTGAGCACCGAACACTACACACGCATGCTCTTTCCCGTTCAGGAAGGAGCCGCAGGCCGGAGTGGCCGGAGAGCTCAGAGGCTGCCCGCACCCCACACAGGGGGTCTTGGGGTGCTCTCATTGGTCCCTGGGACTGCAGGAAGCTCTAGCGAAATCCCTACTGCAGGGGGGGGGGGGGCGTGCAGCTGCCCCGAGGTTGGGCGCCTCGGACGTCCTGAGACCCGGTGGCCGTGTGAGCCCGCAGCAGCGCCCTGTCCGGCCTGGTCCTTGCAGGCGGCAGCTTTCCGGCGGGCGCCCCGCCGAGGGCAGCACCCCCACCCCCGCGTCCTCTGTGCAGGCGGCGTGTGAGGACGTGTGAGCACAGCCCCTCGTGGTCCCGCCCCATGGGCGGCTGGCTCTCTGTCGATCTGTCCGCGATGGAGAGAGACGTGTTTTCCTCTCGCACCGTTCATACAGTCCTAGCCGGGACGTGTGCTTAAGAAAGGCCGTGCTTCTGGAAAGGTCTCTCTGGCTGGGCCGCCAGCACACGGCCGGATCCTGCTCTAATCGAGCCCCTGAGCAGAACTGGAGGCTCCTGCCCAGAACCCAGGGGTCCCTGCCCAGCTCCCTGCGCAGGTCGGGAAAGGGGGTGAGGGGAGAGGGAGGGAGAGAGAGAGAGAGAGAGAGAGAGAGAGAGAGAGATTTGGGAAGCGCTGGTTCAGGCAGGAGCCCAGCGTCCCGGGACAAGGCAACGCCATGGTTTGGGAGAGGGAAGCAGCTGCATCCAGAGCAGGAGGGCTGGCTATTGGCCAACACAGTGACACGAACTCGAAACAAAGTTTCTATTGTCGCCTCTGCTTCCCCCTTGTATCCACTCCACCGGGAAACAGTGTTGCTTTAGGCCCAAACAGTGTTGCTTTAGGCTTGTTGCACCCATTTAACATGTCCGAGGCCCGGGTTCTGGACAAGAGAGGCGGCTGCTCTGGGAGGCAGCTGGGCTCCGTCTCGCCCGATCCCGTCTTCCTTCACCCGATCCCCGTCTTCCTCTCACCGACCCCGTCTTCCTTCACCCGATCCCGTCTTCCTCTCACCGACCCCGTCCCCGCTGCTCGGCAGGTCTGCCGCCGGTTCCGGGACGGCGCCACCTGCAAGGACACCTGCCCGCCGCTCATGCTGTACAACCCCACCACCTACCAGATGGACGTCAACCCCGACGGCAAATACAGCTTCGGCGCCACCTGCGTGAAGAAGTGCCCCCGTGAGTCCGCCCGACGCCTTCCCGTTCCGGTCCGTTCCCCTGGGCCTCCCGCGGGCACCCAGGTCCCAGCCCAGGCCGCCCTGCCGGGGTGCCCCCCTGTGACAGGGTGACGGGGAGGTGGCTGTCAGGTGACCGGCGGCACCTGGAACAGGTCCAGGATGGGCAGCTGTCGGGCTGCCCCTGCACATCCCGCCCGGGACAGGGTCTGTTCGCCCTCAGGTCCGGAAGCCAGGGGAGCTCTTGGGCGAGATCCGCGCCCAGGCGTCCTGCCCCGCTGTGCCCTTAAAACCAACCCCACGAGCGGGCGCCGGGCCCTCTCATCGCCGCGATTCCGGAGGACAGGACGCCGAGGCCCTGGCGCCGCTCACACCTGCCCCCCCCCACCCCCCAGGGAACTACGTGGTGACGGACCACGGCTCCTGCGTGCGGGCCTGCAGCTCCGACAGCCAGGAGGTAGAGGAGGATGGCGTCCGCAAGTGCAAGAAGTGCGAGGGGCCCTGCCGCAAAGGTGGGCGCCCGTGGGTGCCGCTGGGCACGGCGTGCGGGCCCCGGGCTCCTCGCCGCCCTGGGAGGCCCCGGTGACTCTCCCTCTCCCCGCTCAGCGGGCCCTCATCCCTCCCTGTGCTCCGGGCCCTGGCCCTGCCGTGCCCTCCGGGCCAGTCTACCCTGCCAACGCCCCACTGCATCTTTCATTCTGTCAGTCTTCACGCAACCCCCGAAACGGTGCGACAGAAGCATCCATAGGCCCTGTGCACAGATTCACTGATTTTTTTTAATATATTCTTATTGATTTTCCACAGAGAGGAAGGGAGAGGGAGAGAGAGCTAGAAACGTCGATGAGAGAGAAACATCGACCAGCTGCCTCCTGCACACCCCCCACCGGGGATGTGCCCGCAACCAACGTACATGCCCTTGACCGGAATCGAACCCGGGACCTCTCAGTCCACAGACCGACGCTCTATCCACTGAGCCAAACCGGTTTCAGCGCACTGATTTTTATTTATTATTTTTTAAGTTGATTTCAGAGAGGAAGGAAGAGGAAGAGAGAGAGAGAAAGAGAGAGAGAGAGAGAGAGAGAGAGAGAGAGAGAGAGAGAGAGAGAATGAATCCTGGATCGGCTGCCTCTTGCACGCCTCACACTGGGGATGGAGCCTGCAACCTGGGAATCAAACTGTGACCTCCTGGTTCATAGGTTGATGCTCACCCACTGAGCCACACCGGCCAGGCTGCATCTCACCTTTTGATTTAAAAAACGTGCGCGTGTTTTCTCTAAGGCGGAGACAGGGGCACAGCCACGCAGGGGGCGGGAAGGGGAGGTGGTCAGGGTGGCGCTGACGGAGGAGGCGGGGACCCCCTGCCGTGAGCCCTGGTCCCGCGGGAGACAACGAGGAGGGGGCGCCGCCCAGCGACCGCGGTCTCTAACCTCTGTCCCCCAACCCCACCCGCGGTTGCTGAGTGAATGAGCGGTGGTGGGGCAGTGACAGTCTCAGGGCTTCACTCCCGCCCGCCCAGCCTGGCCCCGCCCCTCCTCGTGGCCCCGCCCTGCTCAGGGCTCAGCATGGACCGTTCCTGTCCTCTCCGCAGTGTGTAACGGGATCGGCATCGGGGAGTTCAAAGACGCCCTGTCCATCAACGCCACCAACATCAGGCACTTCCAGAACTGCACCACCATCAGCGGCGACCTGCACGTCCTGCCCGTGGCCTTCAAGGGGTGAGTCGGGGCGGGGGTCAGCATCTCTGAGGGGTGAGTCCCGGGGGCGGGGGCCATCACCTCCCGCGGGCAGCGAGGGGTGACCTGAGTCTCCTGTCTCAGGGACTCCTTCACCCGCACGCCGCCCCTGGACCCGCGGGAGCTGGACATCCTGAAGACGGTGAAGGAGATAACAGGTGGCCGCCCGGGGAGGGGCGGATGGGGACTGGGGAGAGGCAGGCGCCCGGCTGGCACCACACCGGGTGCAGCTGCGGGGGGACGGGCAGAGGAGGAGCCAGCGCCTGGTGTGCCTGGTGTCCTGGTCGCACCGCGGGGAGCGCCCTGCCCTGGCATCCGGGCCAGGAAGGCGATCTGAGTGCGGCCCCCGCCCGCCCGCCCGCAGGCTCCCTGCTGATCCAGGCCTGGCCGGGGAACAGGACCGACCTGCACGCCTTCGAGAACCTGCAGATCATCCGGGGCCGCACCAAGCAGCAGTGAGTGCGCGCCCTCAGGCGTGCCTGTGTGAGTGCGTGCCTGTGTGTGTGTGTGTGTGTGTTTGTGGTGTGTGTGTGTTAGTGTGTGTGTGTGTGTCTTGTGTGTCTGTGTGTGTTTGTGTGTGGTGTGTGTGTGTGTTTGTGTGTGTGTGTGAGTGTGAGTGTGTGAGTGTGTGTGTGTGAGTGTGTGTGTGTGTGTGAGTGTGTGTGTGTGTGAGTGTGAGTGTGTGAGTGTGTGTGTGAGTGTGTGTGTGTGTGTTTGTGTGTGTGTGTGAGTGTGTGTGTGTTTGTGTGTGTGTGTGTGTGTGAGTGTGTGTGAGTGAGTGTGTGAGTGTGTGTGTGTGTGTGTGAGTGAGTGTGTGTGAGTGTGTGAGTGTGTGTGTGTTAGTGTGTGTGTGTCTGTGTGTGTGTGTGTGTGGTGTGTGTGTGTGTGTGTGTGAGTGTGTGTGTGTGTGTGTATGGTGTGTGTGTGAGTGTGTGTGTGTTTGTGTGTGTGTGTGTGTATGGTGTGTGTGTGGTGTGTGGGTTTGAAATAAGATGTGCCAAAGCACCGCGGTGCTGCAGGCCGGCGTGCCTCCCCCAGTCTCCTGGGGCATCGGCGGACGGGGTGCTGGTGCCGGTGCCGGTGCCGGTGCCGGTGCCGGTGCCGGTGCCGGGCCGGTCAGCGGAAGGTCACCCGTCCGGGGCTCGCCGGCTGCTGCACGGACGCCTTCTCTGTCCCTGTGCGAGCCCGGTTCATCCTGCCTCGTGGTTAATCCCCGCCCAGTGATATTTCTCCCATTGGTTTTGTATAAGAGCGTGGAAGGGAAGGAGGGAGAGAGCGAGCAAAACATCAACGTGAGAGAGACACAGCAGCTGGCTGCCTCTCACCTGCGTCAGGTGGGAACCACAACCCAGGCACACGCCCCCGACCGGGAATCCTGCCTCTCCAGCCGGCCCCGGGCTTCCCGCCCCCCCCACCCCCCCTGCGTCACTCCCCAGCCCATGGCCGTCTCGTCGCCCTGAGGGGCAGCACAGTCCGGGCGCACTGCTCCCCGTCCGCCATCCGCCCCAACTCTTCCCGGGAGCCCCCTCCTGCGCGGCATTCCCCGGGCGTGCTCAGAGGCCGCCCTGTGCCCCTCACCAGCTCCCGGTGCTCTGTGGTTGCACCCCCTCTGGGAAAGGGGGCTTCCTGAGCGAGGGAAATGCACACACAGCCTGTGTGGCATTAGTCACACGCCACCTCGACCGTTTGCTCAGCGGCTGGGCGGCTGGATGGGGAAAGGAGCCTGTGCTTGGAGGCCTGTTGGGACGTGTGAGGTGAGGACACCTCGGTGCCAGGCAGAGCGAACAGGCAGCAGGCGGGTGATGCACTGAGCCCCGCCTCCAGCCCCCGGGACTGAGGAGACCCAGCGGCCAGGAAACTAGCTTTCCCCTGGAGGGCCTCGCAAGGAAACCCTGGCAGGTTTTCCCTATTAATGTGTCGTCATTGATTTCAGGGAGGAAAAGAGAGGAAGAGGGAGAAGGAGAAGAAGAGGGAGAGAGAGAGGGAGAGGGAGAGGGAGAGGGAGAGGGAGAGAGAGAGGGAGAGGGAGAGGGAGAGGGAGAGGGAGAGGGAGAGGGAGAGGGAGAGGGAGAGGGAGAGGGAGAGGGAGAGGGAGAGGGAGAGAGAGAGAGAGAGAGGGAGAGGTACAGGGACAGGGACAGGGAGAGGGACAGGGAGAGGGACATCAGTGATGAGAGAGAACCCTGGATCGGCTGCCTCTTGCACGCCTGCCCTGGGGATGGAGTCCGCAGCCCCGGTATGTGCCCTGGCTGGGGATCGAACCATGACCTCCTGGTTCCTAGTGGACGCTCAGCCCCTGCGCCTGCAGCCGGACTGCCTGCAGATTTCCGTTCCAACACGTGCCTGGCGCATGGCCATGGTCATGGGACGAGTGAACAGGAAGGCCGGGAGCCCCGTTGCCGCGCAGCGACGCCCGCTGGGCGGCCTCTCACGGGGCCATTTCCTCTCTCCTCGCAGCGGCCGCTTCTCCCTCGCCGTCGTGGGGGTGGACATCGAGTCGCTGGGGCTGCGCTCCCTCCGGGAGATCAGCGACGGGGACGTGGTCATCACCAACAACCCCAACCTGTGCTACGCGGACACCGTCGCCTGGCAGCGGCTCTTCGGGACCACGAGCCAGAAAGCCAAGATCCAGAACAACAAGGCCGGCGGCGAGTGCAGTGCGTGGCCTCGGCGGGCGGCGGGCGGCGGGCCGGGCCCCGTGCGTGGGGGCCTAGGACACCCGGGCCCTCCCAACCGCGAGAAGCAGGCCCGTGCTCCCAATGGGGGTGTCCGCGCGGGGCTCGGCGGGGCCACTTTGGGGCGCCCTCCTCAGCGCTGAGGAGGTCTCATGCCAGCTAGTCCCCTGCTCATTGCCGCGTCCGATGGCTCTAGCTAATGTGCGCGCGCACACACACACACACACATACACACACACGCATGTGCACACCGGGGAGTGGGCCTGTCACTGTGGCGTTGCCCCCCTGCGCCAGGGCCAGCACCTGTGAAGCTGGGCAGGTGGCAGCCTCGTGCCCAGACCCAGCCACTGGGGAAGCAGACCTGCCCCCTCCTCCTGGCCCTCCTTCCAGGCTTCCAGGCCCTCCCCCATTTCCCCCGCCTCTGGGCTCGGGCCCCCTCACCACGCCATGGAGACCGCCTGATCCCCACAGCGCCCCGCTCCGGGGAAACAAAGGGAAACCCGTGTAGACACTGGGCGGGGCCTCCTAGCACAGGGGTGTGCCCCTGGCACCTTCCCCCAGCCCTCCGCTGTGACAGGACCCCTGGGCACCTCGCAGTCGGCCTCCGGGGCGGTTGTGGGTCATGGCTTCTTTGGGGGGGGGAGGGGGGGGGCGTGTCCATCAGCGGGAGGCCCCGGCCCCTCACCGGCGCTGTGCCTGGCATCCCACGGCCACTCACCCCCTAACGGTGGCGCCCTGTCTCCCCAGAGGCCGAGGGCCGCGTCTGCCACTCGCTGTGCTCGCCAGAGGGCTGCTGGGGCCCGGGGCCCAGGGACTGCGTGGCCTGCAGGAACGTCAGCCGCTACCGGGAGTGCGTGGAGCAGTGCCACCTGATGGAGGGGTGAGTGCTGCGGCCTTGAGGGCGTCCAGGGCCAGTGCCACGCCCGGGGCCCATCCCTCTGTCTCCCTCTTCCTTTGTTCTGTTGTTCGTTAGCAGCTGTTCATCACTACAGAAATGGACAAACTCTTTTCCTGGCTTAATCCAACCTAATAATCTATAGAGGCATATCCCCAGTGGGGGGGTGTGCAAGAGGCAACTGATCGATGACTCTCATCGATGTTTCTAACTCTCTCTCTCTCTCCCTTCCTTTCTGTACAAAATCAATAAAATATATAAAAACAAATACATACATACATACATACAAACATACATAAAAATAACGGCTGCTGCGTTCACTCACCCTCAGTGCAGCCCCAGCCCATCGAGTCTGTGGGAATCTTGGCATGGATGCGAATCTTTAGGTGAGAAAGTAACATTGAAGAATAGTGCTGGCAGGGGCCATTCGTTAAGTATCTGTTTTATTGATTTCAGAGGAGAAGGGAAAGGGAAAGAGAGAGAGAGAAGCATCCACGATGAGAGAGAATCACGGGTCAGCTGCTGAGGGAGGCGGTCCGCGTCACCCAGCTTTTCGGACAGACCGGCAGGTCCCCAGAGGGGCGCTGACCCCTGTCCTTCCCTCCACCCCCCAGCGAGCCCCGGGAGTTTGTGGAGAATGCCGAGTGCATCCAGTGCCACCCGGAGTGCCTGCCCCAGCCCAGGAACCTGACCTGCACCGGACGCGTAAGTTGCTCGCGCACGCCATTCCCCTGCACGCCCCACCGTGGCCCCGGTCCCAGGGCCCCTGAGGACAGCACCCGGCCCACAGCCCAGACCAGCGGCCGCGCCCTCGGGCTGGGCTGGGGCTCCGCCGGAGCGGAGTCCTCACACCCACCGGCCAGGCAGCCCCTCTCCTGCCCAGGCCTCACACCAGCGTGTCCCCACACAGCAGGGGCCAGCGGCCGGCATGGGGCCAGCCCACGTCGGTCCCCACTGCCTCCGTTTGCTCAGACATCACCAGGTTCTCACGCCGTATCTGCGTAGCGTTTTGCGAGGGTTCTTACAGAAAGCCCTAGGAGACTAAAGCCCAGTTTCCTCGCTAACGATGTTGTCAGGAACACCGGTGAGAGCTCGGTCCCCCAGGGCGGAATGCAGCCCGAAGCTCGCTCGGCTAACGGGCAGCGGCACTGCCCTCCGCCGCCGCCTCCCGCTCAGGACTGGCCGCTCGTGGGTCCCGGCTGCTCGCTGGGCGGGTCTGGCCACAGACACCCCCGCCCGGGGACCACACCGGAGAGTCCACCAGGAGCGGGGCCCCCAGAAGAGGGCCCCCAGGAGAGGGACCCCAGGTGGGCAGTGGCGTGTCATGAGCGGAATAGCGGTCTCTTCTGTTCTCCGTTGTACACGCGTGTGCGGCCAGCCGAGAGCAGGGCCTTCCACGCTGACCACGTCCACACACTGGACTGTTCCCCAGACACGGGTTAAGTAACGGGCTTCTTCCCTCTGGCGAGGGGAGCCTCGTGGGTGACGCCCCTCTCCCTCCGATCCCTCCCCGCTCAGGGGCCGGACAGCTGCGTGCAGTGCGCCCACTTCGTCGACGGCCCGCACTGCGTCCAGACCTGCCCGGCTGGCGTCATGGGCGAGAACAACACGCTGGTCTGGAAGTTCGCGGATGCCAGCCACGTGTGCCTCCTGTGCCACCCCAACTGCACCCACGGGTGAGTGCCGGCGGCTGGGAGGGAAATGCCCGCCACAAAGGCGCCCTGGCCTGCAGGGTCGCAGGGCGGAAGCAGCTCCAGAGTGTCCAGGCGGCGCGCCCAGAGGTCTGAGTGAGCCGGGGGCTCAGGGTCCCCAGGGCCAGGCAGCAGAGAACAGGCTGGTGGGCGGGAGCGCGGAAGGTGGGCGGGGTTTGCGGTGGGAGGAGCATGGCGGGCGGGGCTTGTGGTGGGAGGGGTTGGGTGGGCGGGGCTTATGGTTGGAGGAACGCAGTGGGAGGTGCTGGGTGGGCGGGGCTTTTGGTGGGCGGGGCTTATGGTGGGAGGAGCGCAGTGGGAGGGTGCGGTGGGCAGGGTGGGTGGGAGGAGCGTGGTGGGAGGAGCACGGTAGGAGGAGCACGGTGGGAGTCGTGCGGTGGGTGGGGCAGGGCACAGTGGGAGGAGCGTGGTGGGCGGGGTTTATGGTGGGAGGAGCGCAGTGGGCGGGGCTTGTGGTGGGAGGAGCGCAGTGGGCGGGGCTGGGTGGGAGGCCCCTGGTCTCCCGCGGTCCATCCTGAAGGATCTGGGCTGGGATACGCAGCTCCTAACCAGACAGAGACGTGGCCGTGGGATGCGGGCATAGTCCTGCCAGGTCCCCAGAGACAGAACCCTCGGAGGGACAGGCCATGCCTGTCCGCAGCGGGGAGGGTCACACAGCGCCCACGTGAAATGTGCTTCATCTCTGCCCAGGCGGCCTCTGCCGGCCTTTCCATGTGACTGGCGCGTTCTGTTTTCCTATTAACATTCACTTTGCTGCCCGCAGCCCAGCAGCTCAAGGGTCACGTTAAGGCCAGCGCTGTCCCTGCGCCACGTGACACTCAGCCGCGTGGCCTGGAGGAAGCCAGCCCTGGTCCCCGCGTGCGGGGTCTGCAGTCCTCATCGCCCCATTCCCCTGCCTCTGAGGCCCATGTCCTCCCTCACCCACCTGCTTCCCCTCGCTCCCCCCCGACCAGCCCGGCCCAGGACCTGGTTCTGTCCCGCCTGCTCGGTACCCTGTGCCAGCTGTGGGACAGCTGTGCCCCCGCCAAAATCACACGTGGGAACGCTGTGCTCTGTTCAGCGCTAGCCCGGGCCCTGGCGCAGAGCAGACACTCAGAAACATTTGCTGAGTGAATCAACGCCCCTAAGAGATAGACGGTTAACCGCCGCCCCACCCTGAGGCGCCTCGTGGTTTTAACCCTTCGAGAGGCCTTACCCTTCTCCATCGGAACCGTTAGGCAGTGAGCGCTCCGTGTGCTGCGTCGGGGGATGGGGAGGGGGCAGGGGGCAGAGGTATGAGTCCCAGGCGCTCAGTCTCTGCCACGTAAGCTAGCAAGACCTTGAGCACGTTCCGTCACGCCCTGTGCCAGTCTCCTAAGCGATAAGGGAGAGGGTTGCTTTGGGATTTGGTAAAGAGGCTGGCTTGTGATTGAGTGACAGCTCTTCGAGAAAGCACGCTGAGGGAGACAACGCGCAAACCACGTCCCCCTTATCCCCACAGCTGCACGGGGCCCGGCCTGGAACGCTGCATATCCGACTGGTGAGTGTGACCATGCGCCTCTGACGTAAGGTCCCGCTTTTGGCAATTTAACAATCTGTCCCGAGTCCCGAGGCGTTTTTAAAAAGTCCCGATTTCGCCGCGGGACAAATTATTAAAAATCGGGACTGTCCCGCCAAAGCGGCACGTCCGGTCACCTTAGTCTAATGCCACGGAGTCGGACGGGCGAGGACACGCCGTGGCCGCACTGCCGGCTCCCCCCCCCCCCCCCCGCCTGGCCAGGCTCTCACCGGCACCGCGGGCCCCCTGCCATCACCGAGGCTCCCCGGGGCAGGGGCGTGGGACGTGCGTGCTGGAGGCCCAGCACCTCTTTCTCCGTCCTTCCTCTGGTGTCTCTGGTCACGCCTGTGTGGCTGGCTCCTCTTCTCCCAGCTTCTCCTCCGTCCTCCCTGCCCTGCCCCTGCCCCTGCCCCTGCCCCTGCCCCAGCTGGGCCTGCACAGACGGTGTCTGAATGACCTTTCTGCTCGGTGACCGAGCTCCAGCATGGGGTTTCTCCCCTCATCTTCCCCCACGCGCCCTCCTCAGCGTGTCGGCTCTGGTCCGTTTGCCATCGTGGCTGACACGGGCCCTGGGACCAGCAGAGCTGGGCTTCCAGCTCAGACTTAGCCGGAAAGAGTGGGATCTAGAGAGGAATCAGATTTTACACCAGACACCTGTGGAAACGTCGGTGCGAGAGAGACATCCACCGCTGCCTCCTGCACGCCCCCTGCAGGGGAGCAAGCTGCAGCCCGGGCATGTGCCCTGACCAGGGACCAAATGGGTGACTTCCTGGTCGACGCCCAAGCAGCAGAGCACCCAGCCGGGCTAGGAGCCCTAAGCTCCAGCCCTGTCTGCGGGTCCCTCTCGGTGCCCCTGACGCCGCCCCCAGAACTGGCTGCGGTGGCAGGTCCTCCCTGCTCTCCAGGAGGCATTTGCAGGGACCCAGATCCCTTCGGCCCCATCTCTCCCCGAGCCGGGCACAGCCAGCTCCTGCTGCTGCCCGTCCCCAGTCAGCACCTCCACAGCACGGCCCCCTCACTCCCCCGGCACCAGCCAGTCACCATCCTCGGTTCCATTGACTCTCCTAAGTTAAGATGACCAGATTTTAACAATTCGTCCCGCGTCCCGTGGCGTTTTAAATCCAGACAAATCGTTAGGAATCGGGACTGTCCCGCCAAACGCGGGACGTCTGGTCACCTTATTCTTAGTTCCTTTGCCATTCACTCGCCCTCATTACGGCTGGACGTGGAGCACGTCCCCGGTAACAGATGCGTTCCTATGTGTCTCTCACTTCCCTCCAAAACGGTAAAAGCCCATGAACTGGAGGGCGGTGGCCGCAGAGGGTCTGGCGCAGGAGCGGGCGCTTGTTCTCCTAGGCAGATCCTGTGTAACACTCTTTCCTGCCGCGCGCCTGATCCGCTTACGGGAAATTTGTGAGGGTGATGTCCCGTACGCACGTCCAAACGCGGCCACGGGTGAATCTCCGCTGCTCGTTGACACCTGGAAAGATGACGTGTTTTCCTGTGGGACCTGCTGCTTCTGACGCAGAGATACTCTGGGGAGACACACAAATTGACAGGGAAACCGGAACTGGGTGGCCTTTGAATTAATGTCTTTTCTTCATCAACCAGTTAGAGAGCCATTGCCCTGGCCCAGGGTGGCTCAGTTGGTTGGGCTCTGTGCTATGCACCAAAGACTGCTGGGTTGCCGGTTCAACTCCCGGTCAGGACACGGGCCCAGGTTGTGGGCTCAGGTCCCAGTGGGGATCATGCAGGAGGCAGCTGATCAGCGTCTCTCTCTCTCTCTCTCTCTCTCTCTCTCTCTCTCTCTCCCTCCCTCCCTCTCCCTCCCTCCCTCCCTCCCTCTCTCTAAAAATAAGATAAAATAAAATAATTATATGCTATATAATTATGGAGAGATCCAGATAATTCCTTAATTTGGAAAATGCAATGCAGCCAGGTGGCGGGTGGGGACCGCAGTGCAGACACTGCCCTGGACGCTGCCCGGGACCTCGGCGGCTCCCCGCCCTCAGCGGCTGCAGCAGGGCCTCTCTGGGCGTTCAGTGTCCTCAGCAGCCAGCGCAGGACACCTGGCACCAGCCTGACCTTCCCCGTGTGTGCGCCCCCTGCAGGCCCAGGATCCCGCCCATCGCCACGGGCGTCGTGGGCGGCCTCTTCCTGCTGCTGACGCTGGGGATCGGGGTGGGCCTGTTCCTGCGCCGGCGCCACATCGTCCGCAAGCGCACGCTGCGCCGGCTGCTGCAGGAGCGGGAGGTGAGTGCCCGCCCCGGGCCCCGCGGACCCTGCGGCCGGCGCGTCTGTCCCTGCGTCACTCCGCCACTCCCCGCGGGGCGTCTGCCCGGAGCACACGTGTTCCTGGTCAGTGCCCGGCCCCGGGGCAGCTGCCCGGCCTGCCTCAGGCACAGGACCGGGGGCCCGCCGGGGTGGCTCAGCCAGAGCGTGGGCCTGCAGGGTCCCCGGTTCCACTCAGGTCAAGGGCACGCACCTCGGCTGCAGGCTGATTCCCGGCCCCGGTGGGCACGTGTGGGAAGCAACCAATATGTCAACATTTCTCCCTGGGTGTCTTCCTCCTCCCTCCTCCCTCCCACCTCGCTAAAAACCAATGGGGAAATACCCCCGGATGATTTTTTAAATTTTTTTTAAAGAGGACAGTGCATGTGTGCATGTGCAGGAGCAAGCCTTTGAGCGGTGCCCGCTGAGTCCTGGGGAGGCCCCGGGGCAGGGAGACGGGACTGGAAAGTGCCCTGGTCCACGCCTGTCCCCCTCTGAGCTCTGCTTCCCGCGGTGTGCTCCTGGCACTGCCATCCCCCCGGACGTCCACGCCCCGCACCCATGCCCAGCGGAGTCGGGAGCCAGAGCCCCCGGGAGGCGTCCCTAGGGCAGCTGTAGCATCCTGGCACCCGGGGGCCCGGCAGGCCACCAACATGACCCCCCGTAAAAGGTCCCTCCCCCACACCTCCCGGGTCAGCTGAAGGGCCTGGGGACAGAACCGGAAGTGACATTTGTGCTGCTGGACCGGCCCGGTCAGGGACACCGTGTCCCCCGAAGTCCCTCAGGGCGGGCGGGCGGGCGGGCCCTCCGGGCGCACAGCAGGGTCTCTGTGCCAGGCAGGACCTCGCCGGCCGCGTGGGGCGTGGAGGCGGGCCAGCACCCTCACTCACTCACCTGTCTCCGCAGCTCGTGGAGCCCCTGACCCCCAGCGGGGAGGCCCCCAACCAGGCCCTCCTGCGGATCCTGAAGGAGACGGAGTTCAAGAAGATCAAGGTGCTGGGCTCCGGCGCCTTCGGCACCGTGTACAAGGTGAGGCGCCCCGGGGCTCGGGGGAAGAGGGGGCGGCGGAGCCTGAGTCCTCGGCTGGCGTCTGCGTCTGTCATGTGTTCTTGGTGTCGCTGAGGGTCTGGGCAATCCCAACGTGTTTCCCACGCTGCCGAAGGGACATCTTTTGGAATCACGGCGCCGGGACGTGGTCCCGTGAGACGTGTCCACAGACACGTTTCATAGACGATGCACAGGGCCCGGTCACAGCCTCCTCTCCGTCCTTTTCCTCGGCCTCTCTGCCTGAGGCCGGCCGGCCCTCCGTGAGAGCTGGGCCGGGCCTCAGCGCTGTGGGCGCAACGGCACACCCGGCTTTGTCGTGGGCACGCGCGTAGGGGGTATGTCCGACGACTCAGGTCCGAGGACGGCGATGGCCGAAGAGCCGCCGGGACTCGGGGACTCCACATCTCGGCCGTTCCGTGCCAGGCTGAGCTCCTTGTCCCTGGCCCCTCCGGATGGCGTCGCTCCCGGAGTCCCCGCCGTGGCTCATGAGGCCTGCCCGCTCATGCCTGACCACCTCTCTCTCTCCCTCTCTCTCTCTCTCTCTCTCTCTCTCTCTCTCTCTCTCGTCGCAGGGACTCTGGATCCCGGAGGGCGAGAAGGTTAAAATCCCCGTGGCCATCAAGGAGTTGCGGGAAGCCACGTCTCCGAAGGCCAACAAGGAGATCCTCGACGTGAGTGGCTGCTCCGTCCTCCCGCTGCCCCGGGCCTGGCGGTCACCTCCACAGGCAAAGGGTCACTCCGCGTCTCCTTCCTCGGCCTCTAGTGGGCCTGCGTCCCTCCGGGCCTCGTCCTGCGGGAAGGCCCAGCTCTGCTGGGCTCCTCTCCCCAGGGCAGCCTCACTCTCGCGAGGTTTGCACACGAAGTTGCCCCTCGCACACTCCATGGGGGGGGGGGGGTGATGTCCAGCACCGGCCGGTGAGGAGATGGAGGCCCAGCGAGCCGTGCTTGGTTCCTGGGGGGGCCCAGCCCCCGGTCCTGTCCCTCTGCCTCTGAAACCCAGTCCTTGCACTCCTTCGAGTTCTCTGCCTGGGAGGCGGCGTTGGAAAGACACCGTTGGTGACTTGTAGACTGTACCCTGCGATGGCCAGCGGCTGTTTAAGCGTCCCCGCCCTCTGTGCTTGCGCCTCCGGGCTGTTCCTCTCTGGGGGCGTCTCCGGAACGTTCCGCAGGTTACGATGTTTTTGCCCTGATGGGCCTGGGGACAGAACCGGAAGTGACATTTGTGCCGCTGGACTGGCCCGGTCAGGGACACCGTGTCCTCCGAGGTCCCTCCGGGCGGGCGGGCGGGCGGCCCTCCGGGCGCACAGCAGGGCATGGAAGAAAGGTCCAGGCTCTCCCCCTGCCCGCCCCCGAGAATCCTCACAGCTCTGTGTGAGCCAGGCTGGCGACCTGCCGGAGCCGGCTCCCCGAGGGCCGGAGAACGCCGGAGAGCCGCAGGGAGGCAGCGGCCGCACAGACCGGGCGGAGGAGAGGCGCGGGGAGGGCGGCCTGGCGTCCGTGCGGTGGGCGAGGGGGCGGGGAAGTCCCGGGGATCGGAGCCGAGAGCGAATGCGGAGACACGGACCTCCTGCCTCCTGTGGGCTCGGGCGCTCATAACTAATGTCTGCGGCCCTAGGGGGGGTTCCGGGAACTGGACAGCGTGCGGGTCCTCGGGCTGGTGTTCCGGGCGGACGGTGCCCGGGAGGCCCGGGAAGAGGGGTGGTTACCTCAGACCGGAGATGGGACAGGCCCTGGCGGGGCCACCGGGCGGGGCCACCGCTCTGAGTGGGATCTTTATGGTCAGAGCGTCCGTGGCTCCTCTGGTCTCCGGGGCTGTAGGGCGCCACGCCGGGCCCTCAGCTTCGTCTGAGGCCCCTACCACAGCCCTGACCCTGACCAGCAGGAGGGGCTGCAGTGGCGGCCCGGGGCGGGGCGGGGCCTCCCGGGTAGTGGCTCAGGTGGCCCCTGCTCGGCCCTCGGGCCCGGGCCTCTGCCTGCGGTGGTCACGGCACCTCTGCTCGCGTCCTGGGCGGAGCGGTGTCCACAGTGGGGCGAGGCTTGGCCGGGGTTCGGGACGCAGAGTCCGCGGGAGGGAAAGCGGCTCAGGCGTCTGGGATGTTGCTGTCCGTGCAGCCGAGATGGGCAGCAGCGGGACGGGGCATTCCCGCTCGGGCCTCTGGCCCACAGGCTGTCCTCACAGTAAGCCAGGCCAATGGGGACCCTTTAAAATGGGCTCGGACGCCGCGACCCCCCACCCCGGGCAGCCCCTCCACGCCAGTTCTCCGGGTCCCGGCCTCCACGGGCTCAGGCGCCCCCTGAGCTGACGCCGCACTGGGAGCGTGTGACCGCCCGCCCTGAGGACGCGCTCATCAAAGATGGCTCCTCTGGCCGGACGGCTCAGCCTCCAGTGGGAAGTCCGGTCAGCAGGGTGTCCACTCCTGTTAGCCGGACCAGGCGGCACGGAGGAGACCAGACGTTCGTGACGGCTCCCTCCCACCCCACCCACCCCCCGCGCCTCCGCTGCCGAGGGGGCCTCCCCGAGGCGGCCCCTTCGCTCCCCACGGCTCCTTCAGCACCTCCTCCGGGTGCCCAGAGCCACGCTCCCAGGCGGGGCGCGGGGAGCCAGCAGCCATGCTTTGGGAAGGAAGCAGTGTTCACCGCAAAGGGTGCCCAGAGCCCCTAAAACTGGAGGAAACATGCTTTTGGGGACAGAGAAATAGAAGACAGATTTCAGAGAGGATGGGGAAAGGGAAAGAGAGAGAGAAACATCCATGCTGAGAGACAATCGCTGACCGGCTGCTTCCTGCACACCCCACAGTGGGGATGGAGCCCACGACCCGGGTCTGTGCCCCGACCGGGAATCGAACCCTGACCTCCTGGTTCCGGGGTCGGCACTCCACCCCTGCGCCACGCCGGCCGGGTGCGGGGACCTGCTCCTTAGTCTAAAGGGGAGACAGCTCTGCGGAGGGAGGCGGAGAGGATGGATTCTTCCCAGAGCTTAGCGTGAAATAATTGTCCGATGGGAACACAGGATCCAAAGAACCATTTTGGCAACTGGACAAAGTAACAGACTTTCAAGGTCCCCAGGCCTCAGAGACACCCACCCCGGCCACGTGACCACCGGGACCGCTGTCCTGGGGCTCCGGGTGCGGGCTCTGCCTGCCGGGCGGGCCGGGCCGGGCGGGGCATGAACAGGGGGCGGGGGGCGCGGGAAACGGGTGTGTGTGTGGGTGTGCTCCCCACGGGTCACCCTGTGCCTCTGAGACTCCAAAACAGCAAAGAGCAAACTCACTCGCTTGTGTGCACACTGAGCGGGACACGTGACCGGACAGCGGCCCGTTGTGCGGGGGGAGGAGGGGTGACCTGGTTCTGTGCTCCATCCCATTGCAGCGGGACCGGAACCTGGCGGGGCTCCCGGCTCTGTGTGGCCCGACACCCCCGCCGAGCCGCTCCCCATCCTCCCTGGGTCCGCAGGTCCCCCGCCCCCCCCCCCCCCGCCCCCCGGCGGCCGCTCCGGTGCTGGTGTGGGTTTTCTCGAAATGAGGACAGCATGTGTCCGCCTCCCCCGAGCCGGCCGGCCTCCGTGTTGTGGTTGTACCGGTTCCCAGACGCGGGGGAGAGGGAGCTGAGCCTTGGCAGCCGCGGGCCTGCTCATTTCTGCGCGGCTTCCCAGCCCGAGTGGAGGGCGGCCGGGAGCGGGACTGCAGAGCCGCTCTGCGGACGTGGGGTGTGGGCTGCACCCCGATGGGCCCGCCCGCCGTGGCCACTCCCGCCCGGGGACGGGTCTCCGTGGGCTGGTCGCCTCCGGCGCCTCGATTCCCTTTTAGACAATCGGGAAGGAGGGGCCCGGGCTCCGCCGCTCTGCCTCCGTGGCTGCCTTCCCGAGGTGAGGGCGGGCCATGGGCCGGGTCTGCACGGGCACGCGGCCTGCGGGGTAGGAGGTGCGGGAGGAACCCGCAAGCCCCCTTAAAGGAAGGCCTCCCAGCGAGAGTCCTTGTGGTCAGAGACATCGGGGTCGCTGCTCTGCTCTGCACTTCAGCTTCGTGTGATTTCGGAGCAGCACAGCCCTGGCATTTCCGAGGCAGCTCCGTGCCTGCACGTAGGGCGGGCTGCGCTGGAATGAAGGAAGGAAGGGAGATCCGGGCACTCCCGCCAAGTGCTGACCACATTGCTGAGTCAGCGGGAGCGCAGGGGGCGGGTAGGGGGCAGGGGAGCAATAAATAATCAGCGCTTGGCAGCGGGTCCAGTGCAGGAGCTCTGGGCGTGTACAGGGGGTTCTGGGCATGTACTGGGGGCTCTGGGTGTGTACAGGGGGCTCTGGGCGTGTACTGGGGGCTCTGGGCGTGTACAGGGGGCCCTGGGTGTGTACTGGGAGCTCTGGGCGTGTACAGGGGGCCCTGGGCGTGTACTGGGGGCTCTGGGCGTGTACTGGGGGCTCTGGGCGTGTACAGGGGGCCCTGGGCGTGTACAGGGAGCTCTGGGCGTGTACTGGGGGCTCTGGGCGTGTACAGGGAGCTCTGGGCGTGTACAGGGAGCTCTGGACATGAACAGGGAGCCCTGGGCATGTACAGGGAGCTCTGGGCGTATACTGGGAGCTCTGGGCGTGTACTGGGGGCTCTGGGTGTGTACAGGGAGCTCTGGGCGTGTACAGGGGGTTCTGGGCATGTACTGGGAGCTCTGGGCATGTACAGGGAGCTCTGAGCGTGTACAGGGAGCTCTGGGCGTGTACAAGGAGCTCTGGGTGTGTACAGGGAGCTCTGGGTGTGTACAGGGAGCTCTGGGCATGAACAGGGAGCCCTGGGCATGTACAGGGAGCTCTGGGCGTATACTGGGAGCTCTGGGCGTGTACAGGGAGCTCTGGGCGTGTACAGGGAGCTCTGGGCGTGTACAGGGGGCTCTGGGCGTGTACTGGGGGCTCTGGGCGTGTACTGGGAGCTCTGGGCGTGTACTGGAGGCTCTGGGTGTATACAGGGAGCTCTGGGCATGAACAGGGAGCCCTGGGCATGTACAGGGAGCTCTGGGCGTATACTGGGAGCTTTGGGCGGGTATAGGGAGCTTTGGGCATGTACAGGGAGCTCTGGCGTGTACAGGGGGGCTCTGGGCATGTACAGGGAGCTCTGGCGTGTACGAGAGCTGACCTGCAGCCCTTTCCTCAGACACCCTAGTGGGGAAGATTTTTCAGAATCACACGAATACCCAAGTGGCCATCACCACGAGTAGCTGACGCTCTTGTTCCCACAGACAGACCGCTGGCTGGGCTCGCCTCCTGCATCTCCCACAGAAAGTTCCCAGGCTGTGCCCAGCCAGCCCCCGGGAACTGTGGTGAGATCCAGGAGAAGCCAGCTCGGATTGGGGTCTGGGAGGGGTAACGGGCCTGGGGGGAGGGGGGGCTGAGGGAGGGCTGACGGGACAGGGCAGGGGGGCCAGAGGGGCGTGGGAGGCGGGGCTGGAAGGTGAGGCCCGGGGAGGGGCGGCCCCCACTCTGTCTCCTGTCTCACCTCCCCTGCCCGGAGGCCCAGCACCTTCACTTCTGCAGGGAGCGCCCGGCCACCCCTCCTCCCCCCACTCCTCCCACCCCGGGAGCAGCCGCGATGGACAAAGGCGCCGCTGAGCTTCCTCCCGCAGCCCCTTGTCCCCGGTGAAGAGCCCCCGCTTTGTCTGTTAGAGGAGAAGAGGAGGATTTATGGGTGGAAATCCAGGGTCCCTCCCGCTCACGCAGACGGAAGGCAGGGCCCGTTGTGTTCGGGGTCATAAATAAACAGCCCATCCGTCCGAGGAAGCAGGACTCAGTCTCTGCCCCCGTCTGTGCCACAAAGGCCCCTGCCTGGCCCCCGAGGCCGAGGGGGCACGGCCACCGGGGAGGCCTCCGACGGGCCCCGGCAGGGTGTCTGGCTCCCAGGCCGCAGCGGGGACTCAGGGCCCCTCCCCGGCCGCCCGCAGCGAGGGCTCAGCACCCGTGGGCGAGGCCCTGTCCAGCGGTGGGAACCCTGAGGACATTTTATTATCTTTTAACTTTTTATCTTTATTCTTGAAAGTATTACATATGGCCCCCTTTTCCCCCCACTGACCTCTCCCAGCCACTCCCATCACCCCCAGGCCCTCCCTCCCACACACGCTGTCTGTGTCCCGGGTTACGCATATTTGCAAACAACAGTTCATCCGCTGATCTCTTCCCACCCTCCCTCCCGCCTTCCCTCTGAGGTCCCGCAGGCTGTCCCTGTGGCTGTGTCTCAGCATCTAATTTTGCTCATCAGTTCATTTGGCCCATGAGACTCCCAGAGGCGCGAGACCAGGGGTCCTGTCTTCCTCTGAGTGGCTGGTTTCGATCCACATAACGCTCTCCGGGTCCCTCCACCCACTGACATCTTAGCCTGCAGCCTCTTGGCAGCCGTCTTTCACGGAGAGCTTGGCAGTTTCGGCTGGGGACCACAGGTCTCTGCCACCCGGGGCGCCCTGCACAGGGGGGTCTCTCCGTGCCCCTGGGGGACCCCCGCCTCGCGATGCACCTCATCCTTCACAGCCCGATCCATCAGAGACCCTGCAGAATGTCCCCCTCCCGGCTCGCCCGTCCCCTCCGTGTCTGCTCTGGGACCCGGGCAGGGCCCGCCCGCCTCGCCCTCGGCCCCGCCGGAGCACGCCTGACGCCCGCCTGCCTCTCGCCCGCGCAGGAAGCCTACGTGATGGCCAGCGTGGACAACCCGCACGTGTGCCGCCTGCTGGGCATCTGCCTGACCTCCACGGTGCAGCTGGTGACACAGCTGATGCCCTTCGGCTGCTTGCTGGACTACGTGCGGGAGCACAAGGACAGCATCGGCTCCCAGCATCTGCTCAACTGGTGTGTGCAGATCGCCAAGGTCAGTCCGGGGCGCGGGCCGAGGGGGAGCGGGGCGCAGGGGGCGCGGCCGGAGTGGGCTAGGGTTGGAGGGGGGCGGAGGGGGCGGGGCAGGCGGCGGCCCAGTCCAGGCCTGGCCCTCCTTGCCCGCCACCGATGGGAGCCCCTGTGCCTGGGGATGGAACGGAATTGTCTTCCAGCCGTGCCTGTCCCACTGCCCGCTGGGCACCAGGTCATCGGCTACATTTTCTTATTTCTATTGATTCAGAGAGGAAGGGGGGAGATAGAAACATCGATGATGAGAGTCACTGCCCCGCTGCCTCCTGCACGCCCCCTACTGGGGATCCAACCCGCAACCCGGGCATGTGCCCTGACTAGGGATGGAACCCGGGACCTTTCAGTTCATGCTGACGCGCTATCCACTGGGCCACACCAGCAGGGCATCAACCGCATTTAAGCCCTCCGGCCTGCCTCCCGGGCTGCTGGGCGGTGCTCGGGGTTGCAGTCCTTCCACCAGCGGCTGTGAGCTGTCCGCCTGTGACACGTCAGGGACGCCGTGTTCCAGGAGCTGGGGGCCCCGCGTCTGGTGGGGGCGTGGGGGGGGACGCGGGGGACGGGGAAGGAATGGTTCCCTCTGCCGGCCGAGAACAGAGACATTCGCTCGGGGTCAGGGACTATTTATCTGAGGATTAAGCCGTTTTCTTTGCACAAACCTGAAGGGAAGCCGCCCAGGAACGCTCCGTGGCCGACCAGAGCCTAAAGCCGCCGCCTGGAAGCAGCAGGCTTTGCTGAGCGGTGGACACCGGGCTGGCACCGGGCGGGCCCCAGCTGGGCGTCCTGGGAAACTGGCTGAACGCTGCCGGGAAGGCGTCTATGGTCCCGGCTACACTGCCAAGGCAGCAGATAAAACTGCATCGCCCGGCGAAAGGAAAAGTAATCATCTCGCCATAGTAGGAATGGCGGGGGCGGGCGGGGGCCGGAGGGGGGCAGAAGGAAGCAGCCCCCCCTGCCCCCCGGCTGCAGGCGTGGAAATGGCTTCTGTTCTCCAGACCAAAGTGTCAGGCTCAGGCCTCGCAGACCTCACGCCCCCGCCCCCACCCCCATCAGGGAGACCCGGCCACGAGGCCTCGGTGGCTGCCACGACAGGCGGCCCCGCGGCTGCTGCCGAGAGAGTGCCCACTCTGTGGCTCTGTGAGCCAGGGCTGAACCCCGACACGTGCTGCATGGCACTGTCACCTCTACACCCTCTCATCCAGAGGAGTCCGTCCCTGCAGCCTCAGGGCATGGCTGCCGTGCCCGCTGCCCGGCCCTCTCCTCCTGCAGGCCCGTGGAGAGGGAGCCGCCGGGCGGTGGTGAGACCAGCATTTTCCCAAGCCTGTCATGTTTTAAATATATTTTTATTGAGTTCAGGGAGGAAGGGAGAGGGAGAGGGAGAGAAACATCCGTGATGAGAGAGGATCACTGATCGGCTGCCTCCTGCACGCCCCCTGCTGGGGATGGAGCCCAACACGCGGGCCTGTGCCCTGACCGGGAAACTGGCTGAATGGGACCATGACCTCCTGGTTCAGAGGTCAACACTCAGTCCCTGAGCCGTGGGGGCGGGCTCCTCAGCCTTTCAGACAGCAGCATGCTCTCAGCACCAACCCAGGCTGAGACCTCACCCCCGGCCGGGGGGCTCAGCGGTTAGAGCACCACACGATGCTCTGAGGTTGCAGGTTTGACCCCGGCTCAGGGCACAGACGAGAATCAGCTGATGAGAGCATCAGTGAGCGAACAGCAAAGCGATGTCTCTCTCTGTCTCTAAAAATCAATTTTTTAAAAAAGAGCTCTGAGAGTTGAGTTTTCAGACAAACGAGAGAAGCGTAGGTCGCTGGGAGCAGCCTGAGACGTGAGGAGAGCGCTCGGGAGGGCGAGGCGAGGGCAGGCGAGGGCCAGGGCGAGGCCAGGGCCGCAGGAAGGCTTAGGTCCGGCCACCGTCCTCTGACCGCAGCTTCGGACGCAGCAGCCTGCTGAGCTTCGGCTGGGAGATAAAACTGGACCGGCTTCCAAAAAGGATCCGTTCTCCAGGTGCCCTTTGCGGTAGGGAAACTGAGGCAGGGGTGCTGAACTTGCCAAGGCCCCAGGCCAGCATGTAGCGAACTGGGGATTGGACGCCGGGCGGCCCTGCTCCCAGATCCACGCCCGTCGCCCACACGGGCCCCTGACTCAGAGCCCCCAGGCCAGCAAGGCAGTCCCGACCCCACAGTCCATGTCAGCGCCCAGGCTCCTGCTTGGACTCAGCACCCTGCAGCGCCCCCTCCTCCAGGGCCGGGTCAGCGGGGGGGAGGCCGCACTGTGGGCCCCGCTGCCCCAGCGGCCTCTGCTAGGCCGTCCACGTCCTGCACATCCGTGTCCTCACATCCGTGCGTGCCCCGTTTCCACGTGGGGGGCGTGGCCCTCGGGGCCCCTCCCCGGGCTGTGGGCGGCGGCAGCCGTGGGAAACAGCCTGTAAAAGTCCCGCAGCCGCCGCGCCAGGAAAACCTTCCCCTCGCACCCTGGCCCCGGCCCTCCGTGTGAGGTCTCCAGAACCTCCGTCTGTCAGCGCGCAGCCAGCGACGCAGCCATTCACACAAACACACACGCTGCCCGCATGGAAGCCAGGCTGGAGGCAGGAAGCGAGGTCCCCGGAGGCCCCAGGCCTGCCATCCCTCCCCCGCGGCCCTGCCATCCCTCCGGGCGTCTCCGCCGAGTTCTGAGCTCGCCAGCCAGGCCGTGGCTCCGATCGATCGGCATCGGCGGCTGCTTAAACAGTAACCCTGCTGGCTCAGCGTGGCCTCTCCCGGGCCTCAGAGTGTGGGACCCAGACAGAGGGCCGGCGTGTGATCTGAGTTCAAACGGGTCTAATCTCCTCGTCCCAGAATTATCCGGAACGTGGGAGCCGCCCTTCCCTCCCTTTCCCCAGCCGGCTCCGCTCCCCAGAACACAGCGCAGCTCCCCCCGCTGCTCTGCCTGTAACGGCCGCGGTGTGGGGTGGAGGGGCGGGTGGAGGGCGGCTAAGCTCAGTTTCATTACTGGGTTTGCACAGCAACAGGGACCAGGCGGGGCGGGGGCGGCGGGGGGGGGGGGGACAGGAGGGGGCAAGCTTATAGAATCAAGTTCAATAGCCACGTGGTTTTCATGTGAAACACTTGAGAGCCCTAACAGTGTTGCTCAGTGGATAGAGCGTCGGCCTGCAGACTGAAGGGTCCCAGGTTCGATTCAGGTCAAGGGCATGTACCTTGGTTGCGGGCACATCCCCAGTGCGGGGTGTGCAGGAGGCGGCTGATCAATGATTCTCTCTCATCGATGTTTCTAACTCTCTATCCCTCTCCCTTCCTCTATGTAAAAAAATCAATAAAATATATTTTAAAAAGAAAAAAAAAAAAAACCACGTGAGAGAGCCCTGGCTGGTGTGGCTCAGTTGGTTGGGTGACATCCGGTGCACCAAGAGGTTTGGGGTCTGATTCCCGGTCAGGGCGCAGGCCTGTATTGTGGGCTTGGTCCCCAGTAAGGGGTGTGCAGGAGATGGCCCATCCACCTTGGACTCTCACATCCATGTTTCTCGCTCCTCCCTTCCTCTCTCTCAACAAATAACTAAATAAGCTGTTCTTTAAATAAACAAATGAGCTGACAGAGAGGGGACAGGTGGAGAGATCTGCGTGGGCGGTGAGTCTGGGAGGGGCCCGGCTGGGAGCACATCCTGCTGGTCCCCCCTACCCTCCCCAGCCAGGCCTGGGCCAGGGGCCGGCTCCTGCTCGGCTGTCCCCCGCGTGGCCCGCGTGGGAACCAGCCGCCAGCGGGGCGGGAGGGTCCCTGGGCCCCGCGCCCTCACTCACCGCCGCCTGCCTCAGGGCATGAACTACCTGGAGGAGCGGCGCCTGGTGCACCGGGACCTGGCCGCCAGGAACGTGCTGGTGAAGACGCCGCAGCACGTCAAGATCACGGACTTCGGGCTGGCCAAGCTGCTGGGCGCCGAGGAGAAGGAGTACCACGCCGAGGGCGGCAAGGTGCGGAGCGGCAGGCCGCGGCGACGGCCCTCTGTCCGCGGGCGGGCGGACGGACGGACGGACCTGGGGTGTTCTCGGGCCGGGCCGGGGACGTCACAGCACTGCTGCCACCGACTCCTGGGTCTGGGGGCAGGGTTTGCGGGGGGAGGGGGCTCGGATGTTTCTGATGGAGAACGGAGAGCCGTCACGTGAGTCCGGCCCCATCGGGCCCCGCCGAGGTCAGGCCGGGCCCTGCAGGAGGAAGCTCTCAGCAGGCAGCTGGGGGGGCACACGGCGGTGAGAGGTGTCAGAGCCCCGAGGTCTCTGTGAGGCGCCCTCTTCTGACAGGTCGGGGGGCCACCCGGGGCGCCCCCCACAGGGAGCCTTCAGAGTGCTCTGGGTCGGCGGGACCCTCCCACGTCTCTCCCCGGCCTGCATGGCCCCAGCAAACCCCATAAGCTCGGGGTGGGTGGGACCACGGGGCCCAGACCCAGGCCCTGGGCTGCCAGCCAGGGGCCTCCAGAGCACCCCTCTTCTCAGCCAATGGGCAGCCTGCCCCTCCTGGCAGAGCCCTGGGCCTGGGGGTGGGGGGTGGGGGCCGGCCCCCCTCGCTCGTCCCCGTCACCTGTCCCGGCGGCGTGACAGCCTGGCCTCGGAAGGGGAGGCTGGGGGTGTCTCATCGCCCCCTCCGCTGTCCCCAGGTGCCCATCAAGTGGATGGCCCTGGAGTCCATCCTGCACCGCATCTACACCCACCAGAGCGACGTCTGGAGCTACGGTGAGTGGAGCCGGAAGGCGAGGCCGTGGGATGTGTGTGTGTGTGTGTTCTTTCTATTGTTTAAAGTATTGCATGTCTCCTTTTGCCCCCATTGACCCCCTGCACTCCCACCCCCAGGTCCGTGTCCATCACTTACGCTAATACGCATGCTTACAAGTCCTTTGGTTGACCTCTTACCCTCTAGTTTTTCTTTTATTAAAACTCCCAGCGTGTGACCTTGCTGCAAGCCCATGTGTCCTCCAAGCTGCTGGGGCCGCCGTCTGCGGGCCCCTCCTGCCCGAGAACAGACTGACATTTACCCACTCACGAGGCTGAGGTGTCTCTGCGGTTGTCACTAAAGTTTACCACTTATTGTCTGAACCTTTCAGTTATGTTATTGGCCCCTCATAACATCCCAGACAAACACTGTCATCACCCCCCTTCACGGAGAGGTTCGCTGAGGCCCCAGCGCCAGCCCGTTGCCAGGACCACAGGCACACGGGTGTCTGAGCATAAGAAACCCTGTCGATAGAGATGACCCGGCCGAGGCGCTGGGGCCCCTGACTCCTAACGCGGCACCTTGGTCCTCGCAGGGGTCACCGTGTGGGAGTTGATGACCTTCGGGTCGAAGCCGTACGACGGGATCCCGGCCAGCGAGATCTCCACCGTCCTGGAGAAGGGGGAGCGCCTCCCGCAGCCCCCCATCTGCACCATCGACGTCTACATGATCATGGTCAAGTGTGAGTGACCGCCGGGCCCCGCCTCGCGCAGCTGCTCCGGGAGGGCGGTGCTGCCGGCGCCAGCGGGGGGCGCTCAGCTCCCGGGGAAACGCCGCCGGGCTCTGCAGCCGCAGTCAGGCCCAGGGACACCCGGCCGGCAGCCCCCGGACGTTCCGGAAGCCGAGCCTGATTCACGGAGCCCCGGGGCCCCGCATCTGCCCGTGGCTGCGAGCAAATAAACAAAAGCAAGGTCCCCCGGGAGCCACGCCGCCCCCGCCCCCGTCCTGAGTGGCTCCAGGGACAGGCCCGCCCCGTAGGGGTGAGTGACCGGAGGGACCGGCAGGAGGGACCGCACGAGGCTGGTGGAGTCCGCCTGCCCGCCTCGATGCCATCTTCCCAGCCGCGGTTCCCGTGCGGTCTGGCGGCAAGGTGGATGTGCGGCTCCCGCTGGCAGGGCGGCAGAGGCCCAGGCTCGGCGGCCCCAGGGCGGCGTGGCCGTGCGTGTGCTGAGCGTTGACCCAGAAGGAAACGGGGGGGGGGGGGCCGGGGGGGGGGTAGCAGCGTCGATGTAAACCTTGATGCCTCTTGAACTCCCAGCCACGGGGTCATCTATTTTTAACGTCCTGGTTGGGGGGCCGAGGAAGCTGGGACTGAGGTCACCGGCCGTCTGGCCTAAAAATAGCCGCCGTCCCGCTGGTAGGAAGTAAACGTGAGGCCCGGAGGCCGAGGGCGGCCTGGCCCGGCTGCCCCTGCAGCTCGTCGACGGGGATCGGCCGGGGTCGTGTAAGCAAGGCCACCGGCCTGGGAATGGGGACAGGGGTGTCCTCTGCTCCCTGCCTCCCGCACCCCGGACTCTTAAAGAACGTCCCCCGGTTCCCCTGCACAGGCTCTGGTTTCAGTTGGCAGGACTGCGGAGGGAGGGGCCCGTGGAGTGAGGACCTGGGGGCTTGGCCACGGGGCGCCCGCAGTCAGAGCAGCTCCCAGGGTCCCCCCGCGGTGCTGGCCGCCGAGGAGCAGGCGGACCCCTCACAGATGTCACGTCGCTCCCGTTCATACATGTCTGTTGTCGGGGACACACTCTACATACGTGTCTGACGACATAACACACACACGTGTCTGACTGGAGGTCCATCGAGGCGGCAGGTTTCCACAGCACTGACTGGTGGGAGGGAGGGCCTCCCCGTAAGCTTCCCCTGGCAATGCCGTCCTGGGGGCTGTTATTGGGGGGCTCTCACTGGACCCCGTCCCCTCCTCCCTCTTCCAGGCTGGATGATCGATGCGGACAGCCGCCCCAAGTTCCGCGAGTTGATCGGCGAATTCTCCAAGATGGCCCGGGACCCCCAGCGCTACCTTGTCATCCAGGTACCAGACCTCCGACCCATAGCGCACATCCGTGTCTGAGCTCCGCCCAGTGCCGCCCCGTCCCCCAGGCCGGCGAGCGGCGAAACCCCCCAACCTCTCGCCCCCCACCCCCACCCACCGCTGGCAGGCTTCGATGGCGAAAGGGAGCAGGGGGTGGGTGGCAGCAGGGGGCCTTCCGTCTTCGCTCTGGCCAGAGCACTGCTCCTGCAGCTCCCTCCGCCCCCCCGCCCTCCCCCTCACAGCAGGCGTCCTGCCCTGCCTGGCCGCTCTGCACCTGCATCTGTGCTGTCCAGAGGCCCAGAGAGCTAGGGGTCGGGGCTGCCGCCATCTTTGTCAGGTTAATTTGCCTACTCACTCCTGATTGGCTGATGGGCATCGTGAAGTGACAGTCAATTTGTGTGTTTCTCTTTTATTAGTGTAGATTTTTTGTGATTTCAGAGAGGAAGGGAGAGAGAGAGGGAGAGGGAGAGGGAGAGGGAGAGGGAGAGGGAGAGGGAGAGGGAGAGGGAGAGGGAGAGGGAGAGGGAGAGGGAGAGGGAGAGGGAGAGGGAGAGGGAGAGGGAGAGGGAGAGGGAGAGGGAGAGGGAGAGGGAGAGGGAGAGAGAGAGAGAGAGAGAGATAGGAACATCCATGATGAGAGAGAATCATTGATCAGCTGCCTCCTGCACGCCTCCCCTCTGGGGATCGAGCTTGCAACCCAGGCACGTGTCCTGACCGGGAATGGAACTGTGACCTGGTTCCACCCCTGAGCCACCACTGATGCTTTCATTCCTGGCCTGGGGAGGAGAAAGCCGCCCCACGGAGGAGAGCCAGGGCGATTTTACCGTGACTCACCCGGCAAGCACACCGCCTGCCGCAATGGACTCCCGAGAGCCAGGAGGGGATGCCTCCCCTGGGCCTTCCTCACGGGCTCCACCCCACCCCCCACCCCAGGGCGACGAGAGGATGAACCTGCCCAGCCCCACGGACTCCAACTTCTACCGCGCGCTGGTGGACGGGGAGGACATGGAGGACGTGGTGGACGCGGACGAGTACCTGATCCCCCAGCAGGGCTTCTTCCACAGCCCCGCCACCTCCCGCACGCCGCTGCTCCGCTCCCTGGTGAGGCCCCCGCCCGCCCTCCGGCGGGAGGGACGGACCCGCCCGGGAGCCCCCGAGGGACGAGGAGGCGCCTGTAGCCGAGGGCCCAGCCAGTCAGAAAGGATGAGCTCGGCGTGTTCACGCTTTGGAAGGAGTTAGGACTCCCAGGTGGTGGCTTTTGCGGGTTCACCGGGGAGCGGAACTATGTCAGCCGCAGGCCTGGTGCTCCTGCAGCTCCGGGGTCCCCAGGAGAGGGCGCCCCGGTGACGGGGAGGCGGGGAGGACATGCGCACATCCTACACTCTCCCCCATTCTCTCCCAGAGTGCCACCAGCAACAACTCCGCCGTGACCTGCGTCGACAGGAACGGGGTACGTGTGGAGCCCTGTGAACGGGCTCGGGGGCCCCTGGGCTCTGCGCTGTGGAACCCGGGAAATGCCCAGGTTCACCCCGAGATCCCTGCCCCCTGCCCCGCGGCTTCTCCCCTGCCCCTGCTCCTGCGAGGCCTGTATGAGCCGTCTCTGCAGTGCTGCTCCGTCGTGGCTCCCAGCCCGTCCGCCTCAGTGTCACCAGACAGCTGGAGACAATGCAAAGCAGGGGTGCAAGGAAGCGGGTTCCTCGGGGAGCACCCAGCCCCCTGGGGTGCCGACTCGGTGGCATGCAGCCTGGATCGGGACCCCCTTTGCCAAGGGGAAGCCACTAGCTTCCATGAAAACATTCATTAAGACCAAATGCTGGTTAAGGCTCAGCTGCTCACACACAGGCTAGAGGCCCAGGCTGCCCTTGCAGACGGCCCGCTGGGTGCATGGCCCACTGGGTGCAGGGCCGCTGGGTGCAGGGCCCGCTGGGTGCACTGCCCGCTGGGTGCAGGGGCCGCTGGGTGCAGGGGCCGCTGGGTGCAGGGCCCGCTGGGCGTGGGTGCCGGGCCTGCCACCTGCCCGGGTCTGGGCCAGCTGCGTGGGGACCCCGGAGCATGTTAGGAACGCAGAATCTCGAGCCACCCAGACGGGAGAGTGCAAGCCCGCCTGGAGCGGAGCTCAGATTCCGCCCCCGGCGGTCTGGTCAGATCCGTGACCCGCCTCCTGCCCTCCCCCCGCAGAGCTGCCCCCTCAAGGAGGACAGCTTCCTGCAGCGGTACAGCTCCGACCCCACGGGCGCCCTGATCGACGAGGACAGCCTCAGCGACGCCTTCCTGCCCGCGCCAGGTGAGTGGCCGTCCTGGGCACGCAGCCCCAGCCCCAGCCCCAGCCCCAGCCCGGCCGGGGCTTCCTCCGGGCGGACCCGGGGCAAACGGGCAGGCACAGCGGGGGCGTGAGAGGCAGATGCACACAGCCGGCCCAGCCTGGCCCGTCATCTCCCCTGAGCCCGGGGCGTGGGTGGGGTGTCAGGGCTCAGTGTTTAGAAGGGATCTGCAGGTTCCAGGCTGTGGGGCAAACAGCTCACGCATACGTGTGTGACAGAGTGCGAAGGTGTGTGTATGTATGTGAGTGTGTGTGAGAATGTGAGAGAGTGTATGTGTGTGTGTATGAGAGTTTGTGAGGGGATGTGTGTGAGTGTGTGTGCACATATGTGCATGTGTAAGAGTGTGAGCATTGTGTGTGTGTGTGAGTGTGTGTGAAAGTGTGTGAGAGAGTGAGCATTGTGTGTGTGTGAGTGTGTGCACATATATGCATGTGTAAGTGTGAGCATTGTGTGTGTGTGTGTGTGTGTGAGTGTGTGTGTGTGTGTGAAAGTGTATGAGAGAGTGTGAGCATTGCATGTGTGTGAGCATGTTGGGGGTGACAGATTCACTCCCCTTTTTCTCTCCTGGCTCCTCGCTCGGCCTGTGACCATGCAGTTCTCTGATCTAAGCTGTACCCCAGGCCTCCCCCTGCCTGCACCCCCGAAGCCAGTGTCCTCCAGGAGCCCTCGGGGGCAGGGGCAGGGGTGCCCACTGCTCTGGGGGCACAGAATGGGCACAGCCTGTTTGAGGGACAGGGGGACCGCCGTCTCCACTCCCGCCCCGTCCCCCGCCCGTCCCCCGCCCCCTGAGGACGCTCCCGGGACAGAGGACGCCAGGGGGCCCGCCCGGCCGCCGCCCGCGGGGCTACTGACGCCTCTGCTTCCCTCCGCGCAGAGTACATGAACCAGTCCGTCCCCAAGCGGCCGGCCGGCTCGGTGCAGAACCCCGTCTACCACAACCAGCCCCTGACGCCCGCCCCCGGCCGGGACCCGCACTACCAGAACCCGCCCAGCAGCGCCGTGGGCAACCCCGAGTATCTCAACACCGCCCGCCCCCCCGGCGCCCCCGGCCCCGCCGGCTCCGCCCGCCGGCCCCCAAATGGCAGCCACCAGATCAGCCTGGACAACCCCGACTACCAGCAGGACTTCCTGCCCAGGGAGGCCCGGCCCAACGGGCTCTCCCCGGCCCCACACGCAGACGCCCCGCGGGGGGCCCTGCCCGGCGGCGAGTCCATCGGCGCGTGACGAGGAGGCGGCCACAGCCCCGGCCAGCCCGCCGCCCGGTGCCCCCAACCTGCTCGCCCCGACTGGCTCGGCCAAACCAGCATCTCCTTAGACGGTCTGCCCGGCCCCCTGCGGCCGGCGGCGCCCCTGCTCCCACGTGGCCCGCGAGTTTCGGGGCGTCCTCCAGCCTCACGCTCTGAGGCCCCCAGAGGCACCGGGAGGGGACACTGTCCCGGGCAGATGTGCGCCTGGCAGCGAGGTCTCTTCGGAGAGAACGAAAGCCGCCCCCACACGAGGCAGGGATGCTGGGGACCCGGGGGTGGGGAGATTTTCTAGGGTCGGTGCTGGTTCGGTCTGAATGAGCTCCTCGTAGGAGGAAGAGACATGAGCGTCCGAAGCTCACGCTGCCCTGAGTGGACGGGGCGCCCCTGGGGCCAGAGCAAGGCCAGCCGGCAGCCGGCACGGACCATCGGCTCTGCCCGGCCCATCCCCGCCCAGGGTCACCTGCGCCCCCTGACCCCAGCAGCTGACGGTACTCGGTACTCGGTACGGCGTCCCGGCGTCCGGCGTGGCAGGTACGAAAGGATGAGCCACGTTGAACCCCTCCTGGGCAGGAAGCAGCCGGGCAGACGCCTCCTCGGACTCCCCCTCCTGTCCGTGTGTCCGCGGTCCTCCCTCCCCGTCCTGGACCGGAGTCTTCCCGGGACCAGCCTGAGGACTTCCTCGTTCATCGTCCATTCCATTCCTGCCGGCGCCCGGACGGACACAGCGCAGCCAGCGGGCCAGGCCGGCGCCCAGGCGGTCGGCAGCATTCAGACCGGAGCCCTTTACTAAGACACGTTCCCTTCGGACGAGGGCGTGTCCCCCGGGCCGGCTCCGGGGGTCCCCCGGCCTCGGGGGTCGGGGAGAGCACAGGTCCGGGCTGCGGAGAGCCGGCTGCGCTGGGGACCCGCTGAGTCTCCCCGAAAAGATCCGCTGAGGCCCCCGTGAAAGCCCTTCCTCCTCCTGCCCCTTCCTTCTCCTCGAAGGCACTCTGGCCTCCTCTTGGGGGTGCCCCGCCCCGTGAAGAGAGGACGCGCCCTCACAGCTCGCACTGCCCCGCCCGGCAGCTGGGAGGATGGGTGGGGAGGGGGTTCAGGGAGCAGATGGAAGGCGGGTGTGAAGTTGGCGGTAATGCCTTCCAGCAGGTGGAGGAGGAGGAGAAATGTTTTTCCTTCTGAAAAAAGAGTCTCCATCCTCGGAAGGCCCAGCGAGGTGGGGCACCCACTGTGTTTCCAATCTGGGTGCCCCTTCACCCCGCCCTGTCCGAGGTGGGCTTCCCGGTGCCTTACACACGCGTAGCCACACCCTCCGCCCTCCCAGCCCCGAGAGAAGCATCCCCCACCTCTCTGGCCACACACACACATGCACACGCACACGCGCACACAGACACGCACACACGTACACACATATACATGCGCGCACACGTGCAAAGCTGTCCTTCCGCTTTTGAAAGATGCAGTGACTCTCAGGTGGGTTAGGGCCCCGCCATTTTGTCACCAAAAACTTTGTTTCCGTGGAAATAGAAGCTCTAGTCAACTTAGTGCCACCGCGCTGGGAACACCCCGGAGGCCTGGGCCAGCCCCGCAAAGGTGCTAACGTGCAGAAAGCCATAAGTCAGAGTCCCTGCTCCCAAGAACTTCCGACCGCCGCCCCTTAAGCCCAGAGGCCCGGCACCGCCCGGGCTGCCCGCTGGAGGTGGCGTCCCCCAGGAGTCAGAGTCCCCCAGGAGTCAGAGTCCCCCCAGGAGTCAGAGCCCCCCCAGGAGTCAGAGCGGGGCTGGGGGGACGGCGCACCGCATCGCTGAGCATCCGCGTGCGACGCCAGGGCCACGAAACCGCCTGGTGGCCCATGCCCCTTGGAACGGGAGGGGCTCGGCGGGTCTTCACCCCCCGGGAGCCACAGCCCCAGGCCAGGGTCCCGGGGGCGGGGGCGGGGGGCGTCTGTGCCGCCAGGAGCGCCGGGTGGAAGTGGAGAGAGTTCACCCTGTAACAGTCACCTGCAGAGGTCCCGGCACTGGCTCCTCCCCGGATCTCCCTCTCCTGTGCCCGCGTCACTGTGTTTTTCCGGAAGCGATTCTCCGTCTGCTCCTGGCCTGGGGCTGTGACCCTAACCTGTCAGGAAGCCTGCCTCCCTTCCACCCACACCCCACGCCTGCCTCCCCTCCCACACCTGCCTCCCCCCCCCCGCCACGCCCGCCTCCCCCCACACCTGCCCCCCCCACGCCCGCCTCCCCCCACGCCCGCCTCCCCCCACACCCGCCTCCCCCCCCCCCGCCACGCCCGCCTCCCCCCACGCCTGCGGGGGCGGCCGGGGGCCTGCCCCTCTGTGCTCAGACCCACGCGCACAGGACTTTCCAGGGGCAAATATTTTTGTGACTTTTTTAAGGAATATTAGCCTCTTATGTAGCACTGAACTTTGTAAGGCAAGTTTTCTTAAAACATTGTTATTGATTTCAGAGAGGAAGGGAGAGGGAGAGAGAGAGAAATCCATGTGAGGGAGACCGTGGATCGGCGCCCCGCCCTGGGCACGGAGGGCTTACCTGCGGGAATGGAGGCCGGCGGCTCCAGGCCTTTCAGGCGGCCGCAGGCGAGCCCGTGGAGCCCGCTGTGGGAGTGCGTCCCTCTGCACCAGGTCCCGTGTGGGCCCGGGCCCGCGCCCACGGGAGGCTCAGCCGTGACTGCAGGCACCAGGCCGTCCGCTCTGAGGGCCTCGGCCGCCCCCTTTCCCCCCATCGCCTGCCGGTACATCTACCTGCATTGATTTCTTTTAATACAAAACCTCCCACCTAATTCGGCAGGAAATAGCCTCGCTGTGTGATAGCGCCTCCGACAGACGGACGCTCGGGTTAGGGGTGACAGCGGGGAGCGGCCGGGCAGGACCTTCCTTCCCACACCAGCAGCAGCCTCGCCCGGCTGGGGGCGCCGAGAGGGTCTGTCCCGGGCGCCCGCCCGCGGCCACGGCCACAGTGCGGCAGGCTCGCAGGCTCGCGGCGTGCTGGGCAGTGAGTGCCCGCCGCTCCTGTGGGCTGTGCCTGGGTCCCTGTAGGATAACCTGTACCCTGGCTAACCTGTCCATGAGTCCATGCTCGTCCTCGGTCCTGTCTGGCCGCCTGTAGGTGATCTTTCCTGATGGATGACGTTTTAAAGTTCATTAATAAACTTTATTTTTAGAGCACTGTCGGGTTGAGATACTGCAAAATGGGGCAGAAAGGAGGAAGTTCCCAACCCACCCACCCCCGCCCTCACCCCAACCCTCCCTCCCTGTGGCCGCCCACACCCCAGCGGCCTGGTCACTGCGGGCTGCCTGGAGCTTCGGTGTGGGGTGGGGTCGGGGCCCTGTCCCTCCGCGGGGTCCCTCCAGCGCCGTGCGGTGGACGGTGCGTCTGACCCAAGCGCCTCAGTCTACAGTCACTTCAGCCGTTCCCCCCTGAACGCTCTCCTTCCCGATTCCCTCCGAGGGGCTCCGGCCCCTCAGAGCCACAGGCTCCAGGCCGCCTGCTTCCTCAGACCCTCAGGAGGGGAGTGTCCCTGAGACCCCACCCCCATGCTCTGAGGGTGACTGTGCCCGGGGCCCCTGCACAGCGGCAGACTCCCTGCGGCCCTGCCACCACCTCCCCCCCCACCCATCACTCTGGATGGCTCCCCTCCCCCACCCCACCAGCGCCTCCTGTGGGCAAGGCGACTCTTCCGTAGCGTGTCTCACTTCAGACACTTCACTGCTGGCCCACCAGTGCCGAAGGAGCTGGTGTGGCTCAGTGGACAGAGTGCCAGCCTGCAGACTGAACGGTCCCGAGTTCGATTCCAGCCAAGGGCACATGCCCGGGTTGTGGGCTAAATCCCCAATAGGGGGCGTGCAGGAGGCAGCCAATCAATGATTCTCTCTCATCACTGATGTTTCTCCCTCTCTCCTCCTTACTCTCTGACATCAATAAAACTATATTTTAAAAAAGAGAGATCCCAACCTCAAGGCAAACGCACCAGCCCTGCTCCCCCTGCCCCTGCCCCCTCTCCCCAGCCCCACTCTCCTCCCCCTGCCCCCTCTCTCCAGCCCCACTCCCCTCCCCCTGCCCCCTCTCCCCAGCCCCACTCTCCTCCCCCTGCCCCCTCTCTCTAGCCCCGCTCCCCTACCCCTGCCCCCTCTCTCCATCCCCACTCTCCTCCCCCTGCCCCCTCTCCCCAGCCCCGCTGCCCTCCCCCTCCCCTGCCCCCTCTCCACCTGCAGCTCCGAGCGAGGGCTGGAGCCGGAAGAAATGGTGCTTCTAACTGGGAGGAGACAGGTCCCTGAGAGCGGAGGGTCTGGACGGAGAGACGGGGTTCCTCCTGCCTGGGCCTGGCTCCCCGGGGCCGGGCTCAGGCGCTTCTCCGGGTTTCCTGGGGTCCCGGTTCCCTCTCCAGGCCACGGGTCCACCCTCCACACCCCGAAAACCACGCGTAAACCCTTGGGTGAAGCCAAACAATCCCATCTGAATGGCCTCAGAACCAGTGAACAAAGCCCGGGAGAGCCTGCGGGCGCATCTGCCATAACGGGGTGCCTGGCCGCGCGGAGACCGAGGGCGGCCGGAGTGAGGCCTGGGTCCCGGCCGGAGGAAAACCAGTGCGGCAGCCGGGGGGGGGAGGCCTAACGCCCGCATCTCCGTGCCACGGGCCTCAGCCTGACACTAGAGAGCTAGTGTGCCAACGGTCAGGACGCCGTAACTCGAACAGCCCATCGCAGGAGGCTGCCTGCACACGTGCGGTGGGGCATTGCTCCGGGGACCAGGCTGAAGCAGGGAGGTGCCCAGAGGAGGCAGGCCATCCCGTGTGGGGAAGGGCGGGGTGAGAGCCCGTAGCACCCCTCGCCAGGCCTTGGCCACCCACCTCCGCACTCAGAGCGCCCGCCCGCCTGCCAGGGGAGGGAGCACAGTGCCGCTGCAGGCAGGAGGCCCCCACACTCCGGAGGTGGGGCAGAGGGGGGAGGCGTCCAGAGAAGCCAGAGGGCAG